TAATCACTCCCTTTAATGTCAGTGAAAAACTTGAGATGAAGAAGGCACAATGAGTTGCTCTCCATGGAGGTTAGCATCAGCCATGTTGGACACAAAAAAAAAAAAAAAAAAAAAAAAAAAAAAAAAGTAGATATCTATGATGACTAAAAGATAGTTTTGTTTTGGGGGCATGAAAATTTACAAGCCATTTCTTATCCAAGTTAACAACCGATTAGAGGACATTTTCAAGATCATCTGCTAGTTTTACTTTATTGGACTAGTCAGACTTACTACTAAGAAAGGAGTAAATAGTCATGTCATCAACATAAATACCAAGTTGGAAACTGATGACATTAGAAGGTCATTGATGAAATATATGTCCTTCTTCCAAATAATTAGGGGTTTGGTGCATCCAGGTTAGGGACCTCTTGTTTGATGTTGTGTTTATTCTTGAAGCATGGATTCATACAAAGCAATGCTGCTGCAGTTTCAATAGCAACTGAACTTTTACAGGGTCATGTTCCTAGTATAATGTAATGAAGGAACAAGGTGATATTTAACATTACTCCTCTGAGATGTATTCTACTGCCCCAACCAGCTGGACCAAATGTAATGAAGGAAAAAGGTGACATTTATCTTGTTTAACTAATCATAGACACTGCCAGCAAGTTGGTGATATTTGTTTCCTAACATAATTACACAAATTTGGGCATGCATAAAAAAGACTAGACACAAGAAAAAGCATGAGACAATTGAGATAGTTATTGGTAATGTTTCTGTGATGAATATTTAATGCACTTACCAGGATCAAAGAGGAAACAATGCTTTGCATGCTTAGTCTGCCATATGCAATTTAGAAAAAGCACACACATGGACTGGCATGCCTGATATAACTAGTGAGAGATGGTCATGGAATTTGTCAGTGGGCAGAAGGAATTTTGACTGGCAACAGGGTAACTTGGCAGACGGAAAAAGAGAGACTCTTAGTATTTCAGTGTCTTGCTGTAGAAGAAAAAATTCCAGGTTCACTGTGAAATAGATTACTGGTATTGAAAGAATTCATATTCCATCAATTCTGATTTCTAAGTTTTTATTTTGTTTTTCCTTTCTTTTTTCACAAACCTCCAACAGTTTCATTGTTGAATATTTTATGCATAAAGACGTTTCTCTGTGATGTTTCATTGGTGAACACCCAAGAGTGCTTTGCAAGGCAAAAGGGCTTCAAATGCCCTACTATTGAGTGATAGCTCAGAGGGGAAGTGTATTCGTGCCTTTTCAAGAATATTAATTTGAAGTGAAAAGAAACTCTCAACAGGCAGAGTTAGAACTCTATTCCATTCTGTGTTTAACCACTAGGCCACTTGTAGCTGCATAAATGATTTGAAGTTAATTTTGTATCAGCAACGATCAGAATACAATGCTTTGACCCTCTTTCCTGCTCTTATTTTCAATTTAGTTAAGACCATATGGTGGTATTTGCAGAGGTTATCTTATGACAATGTCCATTCACACCAAATATAACTATATTTGGTTTAGGTGTGTGTTGGCTTTGTGCAATAATTAAAAGAAAATGCATAAGAATATTGAAAAAATAAAGCTTTATATAACACAATAATACATAAGTATAATGTGAAAGTTGAAGTTTCAAGAGGTCAAGTGTAATACTTCCAGTTTATAAGTGATAGAAAGATTCTGGGAGGAAGTAAATATATAGGTATATGTATGTAAGTAATTATCCAAATTTAGTAGACACTTGCTCATGTGGGATGAAAGAAGGTATGTAGGTTTTCAAATGTATCAGCATGCTACTTAAAATTTGGAGAAAGAAAAGGTGTAAATTTTGAAATGTAGCCAAATGGTGTAGCCATCTCATATCGTCAACTCTGCTTATTAGCTCGTAGCCTTATATCCTGGTTGTGAAAGTTTTTTTTGATTGGTTGGTCAAAATATGATTTTGTGGCCTGGTGATTCTGATTATACATCTATTTTTAGAGATGGGAAAATTTTGGTCTCCTTGTTAGTTTTTTTCTGTCACCCTAATAGCAGACTCTTGTTTTGAATTAAATGAAATAATTTTATATTAATACATAAATATGTACACAAATATCCTTGAAGTAGATAACATAATTCTAGTGTTGCCACTATTTAATTAACCTGAAACTGGAATGCCTGCTCCTTATAACATAGTGCTCTCTCAGACTTTTCCAGAACATCTATTTCTATACTATTTACATTATTCAAACTATTGTCCTCATCTTTGTTGCCATATTTATCACAACATTTTGGCTGTTGTATGCCCTGGTCTTCTTCAGGTGGTTGGAATGTCGAACTGAACCCTTTATTTTGCTTCCTGGGGTAGACTGTTCTAGTTCCACATGCCATGCCTTAAGATTTGTGTTACACTCATCTGTTAATGATTATTTCTTTCTTCCTGCTTTCATCAACATATACTTGTTGTACTTGTCTATTTTAGTTTATTCACTTAACTCGTTCTCCCTTTAAAGTTTGTTTGAAAGACAGTGAAAGATCAAGGTGACACTTCATTTAACAGAGTGGCCATCAGCGTGATCACCTGACAATAGGTATTCTTCCTGTGTGGTAACACCTATTATCATCAAGGACAGAATAACTCGTATAGAGGATAACCAAGATAATGAGGTAAATGATGCTCTCTGAAAATGATGATCTAGGAATCTGAACAACAGGTGGGCAGTACCAAGAAGCTGGGTCTGACAGTCTGGGGAAGAGCAGCATTCTTAAACAGAATCAAGGAACCCTTGATATGGAGAAACCCCAAGTGAAAAAGACTGCCTCTAGCTGTTGGTGCTGTAATCGGGAAATCAAGAAAGAAATGGCTAGAACAGGGCATTAACTCACAACTGTGAGGTCTTGATAATTCGGGAAATGGTAAGCATAATTTGAAACAATAGGTATTTTCATTAAACAACTGAGAAGGTCAAGGTGAAAATCATCAAATTTGAGATGCTGCCATCACAGTCATGGGACATGGTAAATGTGTGTGTTCAGAAAATTAAGGAATCTCTGAATTTGAATGTGTGCTGAAATTGGGGAAGTTGTTAAAAAAAAAAAAAAAAATCATCATAAGTAAGATTTTACAAAATCCTAATGGTTCCCAGCAATAATTACTTTAGCAGACAGAACTTACCTTGACCATTGGTCTGATATTGTTGAGCTAATGTTTACACTCACAGCATCAACAATACTGAATATTACCAACATCATATTAAACCAGCTTGTTATTGTTTATAAAAAGAGCTTTAACTTATTCCCTGGCAAAAGTTATTTATAATACTGCTGTAATCTGTCTAGTACATTGGATTTCATCTAGTTCCAGAGATTTGTCAGATTCTGTCAGATACATCTTTTCCAGGAACTAAAAAATTGTGAGCTGGGAAAACTAAGGGAGGATTGCCAAATCAACTAGAATGAAGAAACAGTGACCCAATCACCCAAAAGCAATAGCTAGAAGTGATAAGACCCCAGTGACTGTGGACTGGAGAAGTAGGAGTGTTATAAAGATCAATTTATGACCCTGAGCAGTAGTAGTACAATGACCTGTAGTAAAGAAAAAGCTGTTTGGACTTCCAGTTGTATCCTATCTTTTTTATCATAACCAGTGATACTACTGCAGAACTCAACACAAAAAGCACAATCACTCAACTCCTTGGCATCTGCAGCTCTCTTGATGTTCTCTCGCTCATTTTATTGAGTGGCTGAGGCCTGGAAATTTACAGAAGCCACAAATTTGTCTTGCAAAATCTCCAAACTCAAATTGTTCTTAAATAGCAGCTTTTGGATTGACCATACTTTTTGTTTATGTATTTTGCACACAAGACATATACAAGTGCATTTTGTTCCAGAAGGTAAGCCATTTTTCTTTCGAGATGACCAACGAATATTACCCCAGTAACAGTGTAATATGAGAGCACACTATCAATGTAATGCACATTCTAGTTGGTCTGTCACCTTTGTTTAGTAGTAGAAGATAGAAAGGTTACAAGTTAGACTTTTGTGGTTGTATGTTGGATAGAAAACCAAAAGTTGAACTATGGCTGAAGTTTCTTTTTCAGTCAAATAAGGAACCTATTTTTTCTGTTTACCTGTAACCACACCAAAATTTACCAGCAATTTTTTAATACTTCTTTCCTGCTTCTTCCATGGATGCTGACTACCACTGATTATGTGAACCATTTGACCCTGTATACAATCTTGGACTTCCGAGATCAAACAACACCTCTTGAATACATTGCATATTATATCACGGCCCTCCACATCTTCCTGTCTTTTGTTGCCTTAATTAACTTTTGCCCTATAACCATCTTTCTTTGTCCTTATCCTGACATCTGTTCACTCAAACTGATTAATTAGGTTACTCACTTCACTCCCACTTCTCTTGCTTTCACTATATCATGAGTGTTAGATTCTCCAGACCCACTTTCCTCAGAAAATCCAAAATTTTCAGCTGCTTCTTTCTGATTTTTAACCTCAGCTTCCCTGTTGCTATTTTCCTTAAAATTTTCCTGCAGTTCACATCATCTGTTGATAGATTTCTGTTCATAAGTTTTTGTACCTGCTTGGTTTTAACAGAGCTTTCACTTAGGGCTGTCATTTGTTGATGAGTATGCATTCTGTCTTCATAAAGTTAATGATTAGACCTTCCTGCTTTCTTTACTACCTTGTAAAATAGTTATTTCATTTTAATTCTGCCATTAACACAATGTTATATGAATCTCTTATGACATGAAAAGTATGTTTGCCAATAAATCCTTATGAGTACTCCTATTCTATTGGAATCACCTCAAAATAATGCTACATTATGTCCTAAAAGGTATATAGGTCTGTAGTTAGAAATGAATGTGCTACAATATACAAATGTATGGCAGCAACATCTAAAACTTTAAGTATTTAATTTTCCAGTATTTTAATCTTACCATAAAATGCATAAAAATGGGAAGAAAAATTTAATAAGCAAAAATAAATGTTAGTTAAAACTAACTTACCTGCAGTGGATTCTGGAGGAGCATTGTTATATTCACCATACAATTCATTGGTAAAACGCTGTAATTTAAAAAAGAAAAAAAAATCATCAACAAAACAGAAAAATAGAAATTTAAAATGTTAAATTGCTTGAAGACAAAAGTTGATAAAGAAATATGTTTGCTGCTCCCAAAAATTATGATCACTGATTTGAAAAGATCTCACATTTAACTTTTTATGTGCTACGTCTCTTCCGAGAGCAATCATGGCTTTCCAGAACTTTCTGTTCTTTGTGGCTCTTAGTAAGGTTTGTTTTTTGGTATCTCTCCTAATCCCTGTTCTTCCTTTGTATGCCATGCTGTTGGTACATATACAACTATAATGGATATATTATTCATTGCTGCTCATAACAAATGTAAATGTGTATTCAAAGGAGCTAAGTCTCCGTCTGCTGATAGAATGAGGCACTGCATTGCATACAACTTTGGCTCTCATGATTACTGGCAGCTCCGTAATAGGGTATCAAATAAGTGTAAGGTCTCTATTCCTTTTTTTCTTCAACAAATTTGTGGTGTTAACATCTTTTGCTGATAAAGCTGAATGTTTTGCCCATAAATTCTCCTTAAACTCTTGACTCATCCAGAGTATCCCTGTCTAACTTCCCACTTAGAACTGGGTTTCTGTTGAGTGATATGCATATAACCCCTTCTATGGTTTCTACTATCATCTCTAACCTTGATCCTCACAAAGCATGTGGACCTGATCATATCCCTGTAATAATCATTAAGAAGTGTACTCTCAAACTAGCTACCATTTTCTCTAAACTGTATAATAAATGCCTCACTGCCTCCTGCAAGTTATCATCTATTGTTCCAGTTTTTAAGAACTCTGGTGAACTGTCTGACCCTTCCAACTATCAGCCTATTAGCATTCTTCCTCTTTTTGGGAAACTCCTAAAAGGTCTAATCAATGCTGAATTGGTTCATCTCTTATTGCTGGGCCTTTTTTCAGATAAGCTTTCATTTCTCCAGGGTAACTGCCGATATACTGATGATAATTGTGGAAAGAGTCTATCATGCTTTAGATAAAAACATTGAAGCCCAGGCTGTAGCTTTGGATATCTCAAAAGCCTTTGACAAGGTTTGGCATACAAGTCTTCTTCACAAGTTGAGAAGTTAATGTCTCTGGACACATTTTTGAATAGATACAGTCTTTCCTATCAAATCGTGAAATGATAATTATCCTGAACAGCCACTTGTCTAGATCCTTGATCCTACTTTGTTTTTAACTTTCAATAATGACCTTCCCAATGACATCAGCTCTCAATTTGGTATCTATGCACAACCATTTACTCCTGACTTCAATAGTAAGGCTGATCAGTTCAACAATGTCATGCTGGCAGCCAATGTCCAAAATGTTGATAACTGAGGCAAAAGATGGCCTCCAAAACTTCTCTTCATTAATCATCTGAGAAATACCTCTCTGCTTTCAATCAGCATGGCTGATGCTAACCTCCAGGAAAGTGACTTGTTGTACCTTCTTAGGCTAACATTCTCAGCTGACATGAAGTGGAAAGACTATATTGAATCCATTGCTTGGTCAGCTGCTAAGAAAGAAATTTCAGTGTTGTGTGAAGCAATTTCTCTCCAGAATTTATCTTACATATCTATGTCTATCATTTATTCATGCTTAGAATATTGCTGCCAAATATGGCCCAGTGCCCGTGCTATTTAACTTGAGCTCCTTAATAAAATTCAAAGAATCCAAAGAAGCAATAGTATCGGTCCTGATCTGATAGCTTGGTTTCAGTCACTTTCTCATTGTTGCAAGGTTGCCTCTAATTTATAAATGGCAATAGTTTGGATGAGCTCTTCACGATGGTACCTAGACTGGCAGCAAGATCTCAATTTACAGTCGAGTTGGCTAGCTGTAGCTGTAAATTCTATGCTAACAGTTTCTTTTCTTGCACTTCTCACTTGTGGAACTCCCTTCCGGCTCCATGCATTCCAGCCAACTTTAAACTGCAAAAATTTAAATGCAATGTCCTCCGGGTTACTCTTTTCTGTTCTCACTCATTAATTTTAATGTTTCTGTTCTTAATTCTTACACACCCAGTAAATCCTTAGTGTTTTTACTGCCTTGCATGGGGTGAATAAAAAAAAATATATATATATATATATATATATATATATATATATATATATATATATAATTTTTAGTGTGCTATATTTATGGGATAAAGTGCTCAATATCAGAGATAGAGCATATGTAAATATAAAAGTGAACATTGAAGTCGACACTCAGAGGTGACAGGTTGTTTCATGATAGATGCAATTGTCAGGCCGCCTATATATATATATATTTCCTTTTGGTCTAACTATAAGAATCCTATCAGGTAACTGACAGTATCCTAGAAAACATTTTTTTTTTTTTTTTTACATGTCTTTGTCTAATATTAGTCTGCTTGCATATAAGATCCTGTAGCTGTCACTGACAAAATCTCCAATGTTTGGCAACTAAAGTAGCTCCCAAATTCCAATTTATTGCAATTGAAGTGAATGGTTAGCAACTCTGTAGTACGAAACAAAATACATATCAAACGCAGGTGAACTCTTTAACTAATAGCTAGCTTACTACAGATGGTATTTCAATAAAATCACTGTGGAGAAGGCAACGAGAAACTACTCCACTATCAATCCCAAGAACATTCATAGCTATTGATAATGTTATTGTTAGAAATAACAGTGTGAAAAGGATTAATTTGCTGGGATTAACTACTTGCCCAGTAAGGCAAGACATGTACAACACATGTCATGGGTCCATCACTCTGAACTTCACATAAAAACCTGACAATTTTCTCATCAGAATCCATCTCGTACATTTATTAATCTACCATTCATCTCTGCTTGCTGCTATATCTGTTCGGGTGCTCCTGCTATATATCTTGAGGTTAATAATATCCAAAGAAGGGTCTGTAATCAGTTTTGACCTGACATCTTGTCTTCAGTCACTTTCCCATCATTGTGACATGGCTTCCTTCTGTCTTTTCTATATTTTCATGGCAATTGTTCTAATGAACTTTTATTGTTGGTGTCCTTATTACATGAATTTAAGCTTATTACTAGATTGGGAACTAGGTCGCACCGTTTTACTGTTGAACTCACTAACCATCAGTTCTATTCTAATAGATCCTTTTCTTGCACTTCTTGTGTGTGGAACTATCCCCCAGTTTCTTGCTTCCCTGCCATCTACAATCTTAAAATTTTAAATGCAATGCTAGTCACCATCTTGTTTTCCTGAATCCTGTTCTTTTATTACCCTTTCCCCTCAGTAAAATCTTCTCATTCTTTCTTATTCCTAGTAACCTCTTGTGTTTTAGTGGCATTATTGCCTTACTTTGAGAAATGAAGTGTTTTTTTTTGTTGTTGGGTTTTTTTTTTGTGGGGTGGGGGACATGGAATGTCAGAACACTAAATCAATGTTGCCAGTTATAAAATATAAAGTAGGAAATGATTTAGCTAAATGTTAGTATTTTAAGCATATGCAAAACTAGATGGGTGAATAATGGAGATTTTGTCACATTTAGCTACAAATTTATCTTTTTTGTTCAGTTATGTGGTTGGAATGGAAATTTCAAGTTTAATATTTTCCAAACTGCAAAATATCACAAAACCAAAATGTTCTAGTTAAAAAAAAAAAAAACCTGCATTAAACAGCCATCACCTGCAATCTTAGTTATATTTAAATGTTCAAATCTAGTGAGAAAAGAAAAACACCTTGAAAAAAAAAAAAAAAAAAAAAAAAAAAAAAAGTATTTCAAAATGATTTGTTGAAATTTATTCAAAAACAGAAAATTGGTTAATCATTAAAGATGTTTCAACTTGAAGGCATACTGCAAATCAGTGTGATTTCTCATCTTCAGTATGGCTGCTCATTTTTCCAAGCATGGCCATCTTCTCAAGCCTATTTGTATTTCTTCAACACCCACAGAGCTAACCTTTAGTTTATACAGCAGCAATGGTGAGCAACTATTAGTTACAGTTCAAATATGTGTTCTGCCAGGACCACATATTGTTTTGAATTCAGAGTTGTCCTCTTATACTGGTTGTCAGCCAGAGCTAGAAAGTCCAGTCCAGTCCACCCTGTGATTTAACCCACAGCTGAGAGAGGGAGAAGAGATGAATTCACACCCTTCTCAAAGGTAATTGCATGAAAATAAATATAACAATTTCCACCATAATTTGAACTTGGCTTGCCAATTTCTTGTTCTGATCCTCTAAACATTATACCACCTTTCATCTTCAAAAAGGCAAGATAAATTTTACTGTTAAAATAAGAACACCTATTTGAAATGTTAAAAGAAAGGGAAAAACAAAAGAGAGAAAGGGAAAGAGAAAGAAAGCATGAAAGAAGGAAAAAAATTAAGTACAATGAAAACTATGATTCAAAAGGTTTATTGTGAAGAAACATTCAAGTTGAAATGTGAAGCACTAAAAAGGAGGTTTAGTAGTGTTCTAAAAATACTATATAAGACACACACACACACACATATATATATATATATATATATATATATATATATATATATATATATATATATAAAACAAGAATTTCTTAATTTTATGGGTCATTTAAGACCAGCGATTTTAAATGAAGAAGCTTAGTTCTTGGATATCTGTCTCCTAGGTAAAGCCTCACTAAAAAAATCAAGAAATTATTTAAATTAAAAATTAGTTTGAGAAAACTTTGTGTAAATGTTTTTTTAGATAGTGAAAGTACTTTTAAATTTTCTTTGGGGGGGGGAGTGATTGAAAAACTTAGTTATATATATTAAAAAAAAAATGCTATATCATCTGTGAATATACTGAAAATTCACCTTACCAAAAACAATTCAATGAAACTAATAAAATATTTTTGTTGAAAGTCAGTGCTTTCATAATTTAATAAAACATTTTCTTTCAGATTTGACAAAACATTACTTGTAATTTTTCAGTGCAATTCTGAAATTTATCTAGTTACTGTTTGCAGCAATATTTTTTTTGAAGATGCTTGAGTAAAAAAAAAAGTTTAATGCTATTTTC